TTTATTAAAAGTCCCATTTGTCTCTATTTAGATATTGCTGAAGTTACTTTTTTTTGGGCTGCAACGTCCCCTCCGGGCAGCTGCTTTCAGCACCTGGGTCTTTTGCCACGTTTGTGTCTGTGTTTCAGCCGACACCACGCAGGGATTTGAGTATTGCAGGGCAATATTTCCCTCTGCACACGCTGAAAAAATTTTCCCCTGCTTTTGGGGCAGGGCAGAACAGAGTATTGCAGGGCAATATTTCCCTCTGCACACGCTGAAAAAACTTTCCTCTGCTTTTGGGGCAGGGTAGAACATTTTTTGGCAGTGCAGAGGAAGACTGGAGGGAGAAGGTTACTTTATGACAGGTCCGTCCCTTTTTCTGCTCCCCTTTTTCTGCTCCCCTGAAGATCCACCACATTTCAGCTCTGAAGACCCTTGGTTGGAGGTGCTGGGCAGATGCCTGGTGTGTAAACCAGTTCACAATAGACAAGGTGATCAAGGAAGAGGAGATGGGGGCAACCAAAAGGCTCTGAAGAAGAGCCCCCATCACTCCTTTCTGCATGGGCAAACCTACAAAACCCACTGCCAGGTGGCTCCAGCCCTTTAGTCTTGATTTATGCAGCAGCTGGGATCAATTACCTGGGATTAATTCAGCTGCCAGCTCCAGGAAGGGGGCTGTGATGCTGACTTGAGTGTCTGAACCCTGCAGGTGACCCAGACCCCAGCTCAGCTTGGTTCAGCCTGGCAGAGCTGCCCCATCATCAGACTCCAGCACGGGCAAAGTTGGGTGTTTTGGGTTTTTTTTCTCCCCACTTTTTTTTAAAATTGAGAAATTGCATTGAAAAAGTCGGACAGCGAAGTCAAAAGTTTAGAATTGGCAGAATCGAGGTCACCCCTGGAAAAAAGGAATAATAATGTGTGATCCTGTAATTAAAGTCTGGCTTGCAGTATGTCAGTGCGGGGAGCAGCTTTAGGACTGCAGAAGCTCCTTTCAGTCTAATTCCTGAGAGGCTGACACTGCAACCTTAACATTATATTAAAACCCAGGCTTAGTTTGGTTTGGTTTTTCATAATTTCATTCTTTGGATGGCAACACACCTTCACAGAATCACAGAAGGATACGGGGTTGGAAGGGACCTCTGGAGATCATCTAGTCCAACCCCCTGCCAGAGCAGGTCCACCCACAGCAGGTTGCACAGGAACGTGTCCAGGTGGGGTTTGAATGTCTCCAGAGAAGGAGACTCCACCACCTCCCTGGGCAGCCTCTTCCAGGGCTCTGCCACCCTCAAAGGAAAGAAGTTCCTCCTCATGTTTAGGCGTAAGATATTATATTCAAGTTGGTGCCCATTTCCTTTGTCCTATCCCTGGGCACCACTGAAAAAAGACTGGCCCCATCCTCTTGACACCCACCCTTTAAGTATTTATAGGCATTGATCAAACCCCCCCTCAGTCTTCACTTCTCAAGACACCCTTTAAGTATTTATAAGCATTGATCAAACCCCCCCCGCAGTCTTCACTTCTCAAGATGACAAAGACCCAAGTCCCTCAGCTTCTCCTCGTAAGAGAGATCCTCCAGGCCCCTCCTCATCCCTTCTGCCCTCTGCTGTCCCCTCTCCAGCAGTTCCCTGTCCTTAACCTTAACCTTAACCTTACTCGATGCCTTACAACAAGTATCAACACTGCAAGACACATCAGTCTAATATAGAGTGAGTTTTTCATCTGAAGAAGTAAATGTCTTAACTGTGTATGACCATCAAACAGCCAGATAAGGTGCTGATTATCATATTCCTGCTCAATGGTGGGGCTGGGAATACAAACCACTTTTCGAGGTGCTTATAACTTCTCCCCATGTGTTGTCCTCCTGTGTAAACGTGCTGGATGTATTTGCAACCTACCGTGGTGTTCCACTTGAAATGAGCCTGGGTTATCTGCCTGTTTAACTTTAGAAAAATCCGGACATTTCTGCTGTGCTGCAGCCGGAGGAAATAAATGAGAGGTAGCGGGGCATCTTGAAGAATTTGGGCACTTGTGCTTTTGACGCCGAGCCCAAAAGGGTTTCCTTCCAAGCTATTCTCAGGAGAGAAGTTCCCACGCCCTGTGGAGCTTTGATGGGATTGCCGTGTCTGTTTGTTTTATAGAAGTGCTTACAAAAATCTCAGGTCTGCATTTTGCTGGGCCTTTTCGTTCCGCGAGAGGGGACCTAGGGTTTGGGGAGTAGTTAATCGTCTGTCCATCCAACCCTCTGGAGACTGCACGTTTGAAATTCCTGATCCAGCATGCTAAAGGAGACTTAATGGGATGAAGACTCCCAGGGAACGGAGAGCAGAGCAAACTGAGAGCGTGCTGAGAATGGCAGAGATCTCCCTTTATGATTACTGGAAATACAAAAGTTTCCTCTGCCGGAAAGATGGGGCAATTTGAGTTTGAAATTGGGGTGCTCGTTTTACCTAGCGCCAGCCACTAGAGAGAAGCCAAGCCCTGAAGTTTTGGGCCAGATCCCAAGCTTTGAAATATTTGAAATATTTCAAATATTACCCCACCTGGAATACTGTGTCCAGCTTTGGAGTCCTCAACACAGAAAGGACATGGACCGTCTGGAACAGCTGGAGCGGAGGGCCACGAAGATGATCAGAGGGATGGAGCACCTCTGCTATGAAGACAGGCTGAGGGAGCTGGGATTGTTCAGCCTGGAGAAGAGGAGGCTCCGGGGAGACCTTATAGCGGCCTTTCAATACCTGAAGGGTGCCTACAGAAGAGCTGGAGAAGGACTCTTTGCCAGGAGGTGTAATGATAGGACAAGGGGAAACGGTTTTAAATTGGAAGAAAAAAGATTCAGATTAGATCTCAGGAAGAAATTTTTTACTCTGAGGGTGGTGAGACACTGGAACAGGTTGCCCAGGGAAGTTGTGGCTGCCCCATCCCTGGAGGGGTTCAAGGCCAGGCTGGATGGGGCTTGGAGCAACCTGGTCTGGTGGGAGGTGTCCCTGCCCAGGGCAGGGGTTTGGAACTAGATGATCCTTGAGGTCCCTTCCAACCCAAACCATCCTATGATTCTATGATTTCAAATAGCCATATATCATGTAGGTTTTGAATGGTTTCAAATTGTGTTGCCTTAGATCCCTGGCTGCCAATCCCCACGAATATTGGCATGAGGTGTTCAAGGCCAGGCTGGATGGGGCCTTGAGCAACCTGGTCTGGTGGGAGGTGTCCCTGCCCATGGCAGGGGGGTTGGAACTGGATGATCTTTGAGGTCCCTTCCAACCCAAACCATTCTATGATTCTGTGATTCTATGATTTCAAATGGCCATATATCGTGTAGGTTTTGAATGGCCTCTGCATGTGTTGCCTTAGATCCCTGGCTGCTGATCCCCACGAATATAGGCACAATCTCTGCTCCAGGGAGCAAGGACGTTGAGGGATGATCTCGGAGCAGCCTCCTCCTCGCACAACTAAGACTCCGAAGTCTGGGAGTGGGTGAATAATTTAACACTTAGTCTTTATAGCTGATTTTAATGGGGGGTAATAGCACTGCTAATAACAAAATCCATTGAAGGCACCCTGTGCAAGTCCATAACGTTAGCTTAATGGCAAAAGGTAATTGGCATGCAGTTGGAGCTGTCTTTTTGTATTAACCCTGTGGATTTTTAGGCAGGCACCTTCCTTCCTTGAAGCGATGGCCTTGGCAAGGCATGTGGAGTGAAATGCAGATGTGTTTTCAGCTAAGCACATGCAAATCTGGATTGAAACAGGGTGCTCTGCTACCAGTTCACATTGCTGGCTTGTGTTCACGTCGGGCAGATGAGACAAGAGACAGTGACAGCGCTAAAAGCCATGACAATTAGTGTGTGGTTTCAGCTTTGAAGGCTTGTGCAGCCCAGGTGCAGAGCACCCACAAATTTTACTGAGCTCTCACTAATTGGCAGCACCAGAATATTTAAGATGCAACTGTGGGCACCTCTAGGCAGGCACTTTCAAACCAGATGCCAAAATACCCTCAACCTGACTGGGACTACTTAGCAGCTGCTGGGCAATGGATTGGAGGGCTGCTCCTCCAGAGAGCTACCAGCAGCCCAGAAGGACCACAGCAGGGCCAAAGAGCATGGACTATGCACAGATACTCTAAAAGGACATCTTGGTGTAAAGGACATCTTGGACAGTACAGTTCTCTGGGCTGCCAGGGGAAGGTTATGCTATAACGGTGATGCGGGTAGAGACACAGCATAAAAAAGACATTGAGGTGCTGGAGCGGGTCCAGAGAAGGGCGACAAAGATGGTGAGGGGTCTGGAGAATAAGTCTTATGAGGAGAGGCTGAGGGAACTGGGGTTATTCAGCCTGGAGAAGAGGAGGCTGAGGGGAGACCTTATTGCTCTCTCCAACTCCCTGAAAGGAGGGTGTAGAGAGGTGGGGGTCGGTCTCTTCTCCCAAGTCACAGGCGACAGGACAAGAGGAAATGGCCTCAAGTTGCGCCAGGGGAGGTTCAGGCTGGATATTAGGAAAAATTTTTTCACTGAAAGGGTTATCAGCCATTGGAATGGGCTGCCCAGGGAGGTGGTTGAGGCCCCATCCCTGGAGGTGTTCAAAAGACGGGTTGATGTAGTGCTGGGAGGTATGGTTTAGTGATGGTGATGCTTCTTGTTTGTTGTGTGGGTGTCTATTTTTGTCAGTTAGGTTGACGGTTGGACAAGATGATCTTTAAGGTCCCTTCCAACCTAGAAGATTCTGTGATTCTGTGATCTCTAGAGCTGTGCAACCTACCCAAGGGATGGGGCTTTCACCCAACACCCTTCCTCCTTCCATGGTGTCCTTGCAACTCTCCAGTCTGCTGAGCTATCCCACGGCTGCTACCACTGGAGTCAGAGCACCCCAGCGCATGAATTTTCCAGCTAGTGCAGTCCCAAAGGGCAAACTGTTGACTTTCCACCCAAAACCATTGCTCCTTCCGTGTTGGAGGTTTGTCCCCACACTCACAGCCTGGTTTTGTGTTAACTCTTGTCCCTCTCTGTTCCCTTTTGCTCAGGTGCACCAGGAAGGAGCGATGCGAACGCTCCAGTGAGCCGCGGAGATTCGCCTCGGAGATGAAGCAGTGTGTCCGGCTCACCGTGCATCCCAACAACATCTCCGTCTCCCAGTACAACGTATTGGTGAGGAACGTTAATCCTTGTGTCCCCCCCCGGTTTAATCTGCCCACATGCATTTTGATAGACCCAGGTATGTGCCACCTGGGGTCAGCATGAGTGGGAAGGACTGGCAGCTCCATGCACGAGGTTCTCCAGAGTTCATTACTTTCCCCAGCAATTTTCGTGGCACAGAGAAAGATTTGCTGTGGGAGGACATTTTGGCCTTGGTTGTGCCCTGTCTAGAAGTATGGAAGAGGTTTACCTCTTTGTTGTGAGGAGCTGAGGGCAGGTCTGAAGGAATTCTGTGCCCTGCAAGCGTTGTGTGCATACAGTGTAGCTGCTTAATTCCTTGGGAGAGGGGTTTTTGTATGGCTGGCATGGACTTTAGGCAAGGGACATTGCCACACAATAATGAAATGATCTTCTAGGATAAGGACAAGCGAGGGATACCATATGTTATATCAATAAGCTCAAATTTTCTATCACCTTGTGTGGAAATATGTCTTTCGTAAGCCACCAAAAACTCCACCCTGCTGGAGACTGAGTATGTGGAGCAGAGGATGCTGTGCAGAGGGACCTAAGGCTGCCAAGGTTCATGTTCTCAGCATGAAGGTTCATGCTCTTTTGTGACCTTCCTCAGCACAAAGTTTAGCCTTTCTGCCCTCGAGCTACTCAAGTCATCAACCAACAAAGCCACATGGTGAATGCTGGTAGAGCAGTAGATGATCCTTTTCTGGACTTGAGACAAGAAATCTCTGTTGAAGATCTAACCAGTTTGTGGTTTATCTCTTGGCTCATGACAGCAGTACCTTACGTGGTGAGATCCCAACACCCTCTGAGAAGGAGGCAGAGACCTATTTCGTTCAGACTTTGTCCTTTTGGACATAGTAGTTTGGACTGGAATTGAGTTGATAACTCAGGCCCTAAAAGCTCCATCTCTGGATGAGTTGTTCACTAGCCCCATACCCTGAAAGGTGTAAATGGTGTTGCTCAAGGTGCAGCTGCCAGACATCTTCCAGATGAGAGGTTTTGGAGTGCTAGGGTTTCTGCAGGGCTAATGAAATCGGCCTTTCAAAGCCTGCATGTCCAATCATTGCTGCTTTGTTTCAGCCTCTTAACTTTGCTGTGACTTTACTTTCCTAGGCTTCAAACAAAACTGATCTGAGACATCTTGAGTCCTTTGTTCTTCTGGGAGTTCAAGGTTTCTTTTTCTTATTCTCTCAGTAGTTGTGGAATTCTTTCATGTTGGAATAAATCCTGGGGGACTAGCTGGCTCAGGGCGATTGAAATTGATAACAGAATAAAAGACCTTTACCTCTAGGTTACTCTGGCAGGGCAAGTCAACCCAGAGCTGCTGGGATCAGAAGTTGCCGTCATCTGACTGTTACCCAATAATCTGCATGAATATTTCAATGGGAGGCTCAGCCCTGTCCCAGCCAGACTGGTGTCCCAGCTCATACACAGCCACCACAGATGGTCTCTTGGCAAATCAGGAGGGGGACACCAGCAAACAAACGGCTGGTGGTTTCCTTGCTGGGTCTCACCTGGGTTCTAGCAGAGGGTCAACGTGGATGAGAACACAGTCAATACTGTCTTCTCATCCACAGAGCCAGAGAAGGTATCTGTGTGGCCAATCTTTTAGACTTCAGGTACTAACAAGGACTTAGAAAATTGTATCTGAGCCTGTTTCAGTCCAGGGCTGCTAATTTGGGATCTCTGAGAAGAGGTACTTGCTGGGAGAAGGCTCCATTCTTCCCTTGTAAGAGCAGCTCCAGAGCAGGCGTGTGGGATGTAGGACTTGTGTTTGTTCAGAGAGTGCACTGGCTCACGATGTTTGTTGCCAAGCACTACTGGTCTGTCCATTGGTGTCATCTTCTGCAGGGCCCATCTTCATTCTGCTTCACCCATGCTCAGAAATATTTGTTAAGCAGAGTAGTTTCCCCTTCTCCATTTCTAGCAGTGTATTCGTGAGCCTGAGTGCTAAATCCAACCAAATAACCAAAGTTTTTTCCTACTCCCCATCCAACAGCAAAAAAAATAATAAAAAAAAATAAAATCACCTTTTCCCATTGCCATTCCCATTGCCCAAAAATGAACATACTCCCAAACAGACTTTATGTCAGCCAGGGCTAAGGCCTGTCTGCTCAGCCTTTCTTGCTGGTGGCACCTGGTATGAATAGCTCCAAACCTTCTCTAAGTGAGGAAAACACAGTGTGGGCGAGCAGTATGCAGTATGTTGTGCTATCATCCTCTCCTGTTTTGTCACCTGGACTGACCTCCTCTGTTCTTTGTGCTGGTAGAAACAACACTTCAGCATGCATTTGTGTCTCTTTTTAGTGACTGTCACCTCAGATGGGGCCTGAGCTAGCTCATGGAGGAGGCACGTGTGGAGAGCATCTGCATTTGTGCCTGCGTCAAGTGGCTGGCTCTCGTGGTTGGTCACAAAACCTCTAAATTTATACTAACTAGTAGGCCATCAGCAGGTGCTAGTAGTACACTGAGATGCCTCTTTGTGTTAAGACACAGTCTAGTGGGTTGGGCAGGACCCCCAGTGATGGGTAGCAGTGGTGCAGGACCTTAGTTGGTCCGGGAAGTTAGCAGCATGAGGGTCCTCCTCCAGAGAATACACATGGTGGAAACCAGCCATGAGATTCCTTTCTTTCATGACCATGGGCAATGGCATAGCAATGCCAGTGGGTGTTGTAAACTCTAAAAACATGGACAATATCGCTGTAGCAATAGGACGAGGGGTATTGGAAAGAGAAAGCTCTGGGGAGACCTTATAGTGGCCTTCCAGTCCCTAAAGGGGGCTACAGGAAAGATAAGGGAAGGACTCTTTATCAGGGAGTGGAGAGATAGGATGAGGGGTTATGGTTTTAAACTGAAAGAGGGGAGATTTAGATTAAATATTTAGAAGATATTCTTTACTGTGAGAGTGGTGAGGCACTGGAACAGGTTGCCCAGAGAAGTTGTGGATGTCCCATCTTTGTAGGTATTCAAGGCCAGGCCGGATGGGACTTTGAGCAACCTGGTCTAGTGGGAGGTGTCCCTGTCCATGGCAGAGGGGTTGGGACTCGATGATCTTTAAGATCTCTTCCAACACAATCTACTCTACGATTCTATGAATTTCTCCTTCACAGCTTTTTTTTAATGAATGGCAGCCCCCCAGCATGTCCCCAGGGCCAACTGCTTCTTTGGTGGGATGGGCAGGAGAGGTTTGCTGTGCCTCTTATAAGAGACGTCGTTTCTTTGTGGTGGACTGAAGGCTGTAACTAGACTCTCCTTACACAGGAACTTGGTGACAGAGCGCTCCCCCATCTGCTGATGCTAGGAGAGCAGGCCGTAGAGAGTTAGACTGGAGCGCTACAGTTTCTCTGTAGTCTGCAGAGTGCCTCTTGTGAGTAGTGGTCACCTTCCTCAGAAAACCGCGTGCCTTGGGGCCACCAAAGCCCGAGTCTTCACAGCTGGCCCCCAAAAAAAGACTCCCTGCCTAACCTTACACTTGCATGACAGATAGTGAGCACTCCCTCCTCTCCACTGACCCAGCCAGCACTGGGATGCAGTGCCGTTGTCCCTGCATAGCCACCCACCACCTGTGTCAGCATCAGCATCTCATCCCCTTCCCCTTCCCCACACACATCCCTCTCCTGAATCGCTGCTTTCTGTTGAAGGAGGATGCTCTCTCTAGCAAGAGGCTCTTTGTCCAACCTCTCCAGTGTAATTCTCTCCTGCTGACCCAGCTCTGTTGTTCGGCTTAGTATTTTCTCTTTCCTTTTTTTTTTTTTTTTTCTATCTCTCCCTCCCTCCCTCTTTGCTTACAGCTGGTCTTGGAGACCTACAACGTCCCTGAGCTGTCAGCGGGAGTCAATTGCACCTTCGAGGACCTTTCAGAGATGGATGGCTTGGTGGTGGGCAGTCAGATCCAGTGCATCTCGCCAGCTGCCAAAGAAGTGCCCCAGATCATCACAGAGAACGGTGGGTATCCCACAGCTCCTCCATCTGTGCCACTTCTCCCTCCTTTCCTCACCTCACACCCTTGTGTATCTCATCACAGAATCACAGAATCTTCTAGGTTGGAAGGGACCTTAAAGATCATCTTGTCCAACTGTCAACCTAATTTTGACAAAAATAGACACCCACACAACAAACAAGAAGCATCATCACTAAACCAGACCTCCCAGCACTACATCAACCTGTCTTTTGAACACCTCCAGGGATGGTGCCTCAACCGCCTCCCTGGGCAGCCCATTCCAATGGCTGATAACCCTTTCGGTGAAAAATTTTTTCCTAATATCCAGCTGAACCTCCCCTGGTGGAACTTGAGGCCATTTCTCCTCCTGCTTTGTCCCAACGCAGAGTTTGGTTCGCAGGAGCCTGAGGACAGAGCATTCAAGACACAGGGAGTAGGTGGGACACTGTGCTGGGTGCTCGTACTATGAGTTGTCTGAACGTGTGCGTGTGTGTTTCTGTGTGCACACGTGTGCAAGCGTTGTGCTGCGATCCCGCTACCTGCATTGAGGTGCTTGTATGTGCCATAGTGTGTGTTTTCAGACTGCCACCGAGTGGCAGTTACATATATCTGGCAAAGACCAGAGATGATGTAGGATATGATGAGAGGATGTGCTCGCCTTTTGCCCAGGCTGGTCTTACACAACCTAGGGAATGAGGCTGTGCATGCCCTCAGCACATCCCATCCTCTGCAGCAGCCAGAACGTCCTGCAGACCTGGACGATTCCAGTAATTTCCCTCTCCCAGAGTGGTCCAGCACAGAAATAACTCAGAACAGGATGAGCACCTCTCATAAATAACTGAAATAACTCAGAATAGGATGAGCACACAGAAATAGGATGGAGCACCTCTCCTGTGAAGACAGGCTGAGGGAGCTGGGATTGTTCAGCCTGGAGAAGAGAAGGCTCCGGGGAGACCTTATAGCGGCCTTTCAATACCTGAAGGGTGCCTATAGAAGAGCTGGGGAGGGACTCTTTGCCAGGAAGGGTAATGATAGGACAAGGGGAAACGGTTTTAAATTGGAAGAAAAAAGATTCAGATTAGATCTCAGGAAGACATTTTTTACTCTGAGGGTGGTGAGACACTGGGACAGGTTGCCCAGGGAAGTTGTGGCTGCCCCATCCCTGGAGGGGTTCAAGGCCAGGCTGGATGGGGCTTTGAGCAACCTGGTCTGGTGGGAGGTGTCCCTGCCCATGGCAGGGGGTTGGAACTCGATGATCCTTGAGGTCCCTTCCAACCCAAACCATTCTATGATTCTATGATTCTAACTCCCAGAGTGGGCTCCAAGGATGGCCCCCACCCCTCAACTTCCTGCCATTTTTTGTTTCCCTTGTCTAACAACTTTTCTAGGTACTTTCAAGAGCATCTGAGGTTCTTTGCGGGGACTTAATATAAAAACCTTGACCCTGCTGCTCAGCCCAAGAGGCGTAGAGAGGGTGCTACTATTTTTGGTTTTGGTTTCCTGTGAAATTTTATGGTCAAGTTTGTCTCTGAGTATCCTCAGGCCCCAGAAAATGAAGTGACACAAACCATCACCATCATCTCTGCTCTCCCCAAGCTGCCCACAGCTGCATGTGCTCTCCATCGCGGTTCCAAAACAAGCCCCCAAAGGGCTGTTACTGCTTTAAGGTCCCACCGGGTTATCATCATTCATGTTTGTCGACCAAGAGAGATGCCAGAAACTATTTCCTTGGTATGAACATCTGTCCCAGGCCAGGCTATAATCAACCACCAAACAAAAATAGCAGTGGAAGCTGGAGGCAGGCCAAGAGAGAGAGATTTACATGAAGCATGGTTTCCAGAGAAGCTGGGTACCTGCAGCTTGTATCAACTTCAGCAGCTGGTGCTCCGCATCTCTGCAAGGACCAAGTCCTCCATGCATAGTGCCAGAAGCTGGATTTGAACCAAAGTAACAGGCGATAGGACAAGAGGAAAGGGCCTCATGTTGTGCCAGGAGAGGTTTAGATTGGATATTGGGAAAAATTTCTGCACCAAAAGGGTTATCAAGCATTGGAACAGGTTTCCCAGGGAAGTGGTGGAGTCACCATAGAATCATAGAATGGTCCAGGCCAGAAGGGACCTCCAAAGGTCATCTAGTCCGACCTCCCCGCAGTCAGCAGGGACACCCCCAACTAGACCAGGTTGCCCAGGGCCT